AGGAGAGTCCACCTCCTCTTTCCCGTCTGACCCATCCACTCCAGGTTTGGCACTAGATAGTTGGGTCAAAAGCTCTGATTTCAGTTGCCTGTATTATATCACTGTAAATTATCAGTTATGATCCTTCTTGTAAAGATTCAGTCTAAAATCTATGGTAGACCAGGCACAATTACTGTCACCTGCTGACATCTTGGTCTGGAAAAGCAAAATTATTACAGATGACAATTTGCTTTCTGAACAAAGACCTTGTTTTGCTTTATCAGTAATGGATTTGCTAGAAAGTGTCTTACTAATGTATCTACTTCTGCTACAATATTTAACTCTGACACACCAGCAAAATCCCTTGTCTTACAAGACCAGATCTAAGCTGTACACTGTTGTGTGTGAAGAACTGTTTCCTTGTGCTGGAATAAATAGCTACATGATCACATCACTGGTGAGACAGAAACAGAGTAGAATGGAGAATTGCAGGTCTATAGTTAGAGTCATACCAAGTTTGTAACTATCAAAATATTTATTGGAAGTTATAAAATTTAAATAATAGCTATACATTATATACACACAGCTACAATTGTAGAAAATAAGGTTTCATAGTTGACAGTTCAAGAGAAAGTTCAGCTACATCAATACTAAAGTTTTCTTGAAATAAAGACTTCATCCTCTACCCTTTAGTTGCTACATCACTTAATTCAGATGCAATCACAGTACTTTACACATGGAGTTTGGGTACATTCCTTCAAATAAATAATTTATAAATACAAAAACTTCGCTTGGGCAGAGTTTGACCCCTTTCCCCATTCCTCCTCAAACTTGTGAGCATTTGTAATGCAAATGATTGTTATTTTACCTCTTCTCTTTCTAAGTAACACACACAAAAGTTGTCCTTGCTCAGAAGCACCACGGAGTCTCCGCTAGAATGCCAGGAGAGAGACACGATCTGGAAGTCACCTGCAGGAACAGATCAGAGTTTGTCAGCAGGAGGCAGTCCATCCTCTTCCTCCAGCGACCTTTTCCTAGAGTAAGTCACACACATTGTAGAAAATACCCTCCCCACCTTGGAAGCCTTAACAGGGTGTTTGATTTTGCTACTGCTGCAGCAGAGCCCATCTGCTCTGCACTACAGCAGTGCAGATAAGCTGCATTACTGACTTCCCCAAACCCACAGTTACTTTGGACCCCATCATTCAAGCACAGATTTTATAGATTTGATGTTTTAATGCAAACAGATGCCACAAGATTGTTCACCAGTGCAGAGCTGCACACCCTGATGATAGTGCCACTCCTTGCACGGAGAAGAAAAAGTTGGATCTTTGCAATTTCTTTTCTGCTTGATATGCAGAAAGGTGTTGATGTGATCTAGCTAATGACCTTCGATCACCTACTGCCAGCCACAAAACATCTCACCACACAGGCTGACTTACAGTGCAGGTTCACATATGTTCTGCTATCTCTGCAACAGATTTAAGATGCACGTTTTTCCCCTTTAGTGTTTTGTGGTAGTTTAGCTGTTTTCAGCAGAGCCAAACACATTACAGGTGTTTCAGAGTCTTTATTTCAACACTTGGCATTCTGCACAACTACAGTTCCTATGTAAATAAACTGATATGAATATAAATCTTGAGAAAGAATTCAACATACCATATGATTAAAACAACAATTAAATCACTGTTAGCCCCTGTGCTCTGTCCTTGATGTATTTTATCACGTTTGCTATGTTTCATTATGAACTCCTCTTTTTTGAAGACAGAAATCCCCATTTTAAAAGAGCTCTGAGAACACATCAGAGCCATTACATGATAATGCTCTGACCAATTTATAAATATTTTATAAATGAGAAGCTGATGTTGGCTTGTGGAGGTTACTGCAGGCAGCCTTACCTTCCACTGGAACCTGCACCGACACACAGCCAGCTGGGGACCACAAGTAGACTTTGCTGTTTCCTGTGCACACAGCAAGTCGAGGTTGTCGCGGATCCCACTGGAAACACTGGATCGTGCACAGCTGCTCCAAGACTACAAACAGTTTCAGCTTTTGAATGTCCCAGATCCAGACAGCGTTAGGAATGTTATCTGTCAGAAAAGGAAGATGTAATCAGGTAAATACCTGAAAGATAAACAGATCACACTTCTTTTCTTTAAAGAAATGGGCATTAATTGAGATCTACCATGACACAAACCATCTAGGTCCACCGCAGGTTTAACACCGCTAGAGTTTTGCCTAAGTGGTACCTTCAGCTTTGCCTGGGAAATATTGCAAAAGGGATAAGAGAAGTGACTTTGTCTTCCAGTTATTCACTGTCTGTTATCAAATTATTCACAATTATCCTGCTGTTGATGGGTTTTGCCTCTAAACCACGGCTTTTGCATCCAGATATCATCAGCCCTTCAGGGCCGTTGAAGGGAACGATTCAACGTTAATTCCCTGACTTTCACTATTTGAGGTAACCAAAAGCCCCCCTACTCCAGGTTGTGAAGAATTCTGCCTTTCAAGAGACAGTTGCTGTAAATAGAGGAGGAAGGACCTGTGTGTTCCATTTTCTAATCCAATGAGTTCACATACATTTGAAGAAATACAAAAAGCAGAGTTTTCATTAAACACAAAGCCAAGAATTAATGCACTGCTAAACTGTTCTGGCAGCTCACAAATCTTTACGTGTGCCAGAAGACTGCTGAATTTCCCCTGTAGTTTTGAGTTTGCACAATGGAGAGCCACTTTAGAACAGAGCCATGAGTCCTCCCATAGCACAAAATAACCGACCAATTATCGTTATTGGGTTTTTTACGAAAACACACCACATACAACGTTGAGTAGGTTTCCCCTTTAATATAGGGCAGTAGGAACTTACCATTTTTGGTTGCCAGGAAACAGTTATCTGGACTGAATGCCAACATCCCAATTCCCATTTTGGGATTTGCCCTGTCAGCAACTGGTTTGATATACTGTAAAGAAACTGGCACCTGGGAAATGTCATCTGGAATTTGAAATAAAAGCACTTTAAGCAAGCCTGAATGGGCAAAATATTTAAATTCTAACAGTTAAAACCCCCCCCATTCTCTGAAGTGATAGGGCTGTATTTTACTCCAAGATGTTCCAAACAAAAACTTCAATTGTTTTAAGGTACTGCATCTTCATATGAACAGCCCTTCTACAAAAAAAGAAAGGCTGGAAATCCAGGCAAGTCTGAGATTAAACTATGAAAAAAAGGAAAGATCAAATTTTCCTGCTACCTTTTAACTAGTATTTCAAACAAACACCAATGCAAAACAAAGGTGATTTACAGGACCACAAACAATGAGACAGTTAAATAAAAAAAGCAACTAATCATAGATTGCCATCTCTGTGATATTTCAAAGCCTGTTGTCTGGAGGCAAATTTAAAGCATTGCTACAACTACAGCTTCTTAGTCAAAAAGTCTTTCAAGCTCTGCTTTTTTACATAACCTCATGCCTAAGGGATTAATTACTATCCTAAAACAGCAAGACTAACACCTTCTGATTTATTTTTTTTTTTTAATTATTGGAACTGCCACACACTATGATAAGATTCTTAATTGCAATAGTCCATCCAATTCCAGCAATTATCTGCAACAGTTAAACTAAGTCATGAAGTAACATTGCATAGATTGAAAAAATCAGAAAAAATCCACACAAGGTTAAGACAGCTTTTGCAAGCAACTCCAAGCCTGAGATCTGGCTGCTATTTCTACACCCAAGCAATTCCAGTTCTTTTCTACAATATCCCACCAGGTCGGACCTGCCTTCAAGCCACCAAGCAGGCAGCATCCCCTCTAGCTGACTGCCCTGGGAGCTCTTCAGTTAACTTGGGATCTCAAGCAGAGCACCCAGAGGATCCATTCCAATATCGAAGAGGCAGAGTTCACCTCTTTTATTATTTATAGAAAGACTTGACGTGGCAAACTCAAGTGTCTCATTTTAGTAAACTTTGGCTTACATTTACTTTGTGTGCTGAAGAGAGAACTAGCCAATGCTCTTGTTGGAGGGAAAGAAAGTCTCTCTGTTTCAACAGATGGGGATTTCTCCACTTCTTTATACACAATCTACAAAGAAACAAGTGAGAGTTCTACAGAAAGGCCCTGGAGAATTTGAACATGGGCTATTACCAGATCATCCCCATCCCACTAACTCATTTTGAAGTGTATTAACTCTCAGCATCCCTTAGTTCATCAAGGAAAGGGCTTCAGCAGGCAAATACTGATTCCAGCATTCTCAGTGAATGATTTGCTATTTGGAACCATGTTCAAGAAAACACTCCTGTGACAAACAAACCTTGAAGTCTATGAAGAATGAGTTTGCCAGAGTACATCTCATTCATTATTCCTGAGAGCTAAATCTGGCAGCACAATAAATCATCTTCATTGCAATGGGAACATAGATTTCATTTTTGCAACACAGAATTCTTAATCCTATACTATCATAAATCAATGCAAAGTGCAACAGTGCAGAAGGAAATAGCAAAAATATTTTAATAATTTGCCTACAATGTATTATTCCCAAACACAAACACCAGGATAAAATGCACCAACTGCAATTCCTGTCTGTGTAGCAGAGATTAACAGAGCTATTTCCAGTTGTTTTCTATTTCATATTTTACATATTTTACTAACAGGAAGTAAAGGCATTTTTCAGTTGTGAGAAGTTCTGCTGAGGTGCATGTAAAGGACCACAGCTTGCTTCTGGTTAAGAGGCATCAGAGTCACGTGAATATTGCAGAGTTACAGTCTACACATGTAAACTCTTACAGGATATCTGTCCAGACACTGCCTCTACAGTCGCATGCAGCACTACTACCCTGTGGGTTCTTTTTACCCTGACAGATGAGAAAAGCTTGTGATTTTTGGAACAAAAGCCACAGCTCTCTGCCTCTTGCCAGCTACCCAGAATCTGTTGGGCTTTGCACACACACGTACGCAAGGATAAAAATAAATGATGACAGATGTTTACAGGAAACACTCTTTAGGTGAGCTGCAGGAGCTTGTACACAGAAGATGTAAATCTGATCATAACCCAGTTCCATCATGGTTTAAAGTTGTGAATTGTATAAAGTTGAGACAAATCTCTCCTGTTAAGTTTCCTATCACTTGCATACCCAAATCTGTAATGCAATCGCCATATACATGAAAATACACTGGCATATGACAGAATTCCTCTGAGAACCTGTCAGTGCTAAAGCTGGATCCATACTTACCGTCTTGGTGTTAGCAATGGTTGCTGGGTGCTCAAACTCGGTGATTTTCTTCCAAGTTACATGGTTCAAGATACGCACCTAATTCAAGAAAGCATGGCAAGAGGAACTATTATGACAAAGTTCTGCAAAAGCTTTAGATAAAAAGAGAGAAAATAAACCTATTTCTTACCTTTTCATCATAGCTGCCAATTGCCAAAAATTGACTGCTGGCACTCCAGGCGATTGATTTTATGCCTAGTGACCATTCATAAGCCCGAAAAGTTGACAGCAGTCTGCCATCAAGGGAGTACAGCAATATTTTATACTGAAAAAAAAAAGGAAAAGATTAATTCTAAAGACTAACAAGATTGTTAAAAGCCATAGACAGATAAAAGAATTCCTTCCAAACTCTCCCTGCTTAAAATGCAGCAAGTTAAATACAAAGGGACACGGTCTCTTACCTGTGATGTGAGACAAGATGCTCTAGGCTTCCAGTTTGGCTCTTTCAGCACTCAGAACACATCCACCCCGTTCCCAGGAGCACAAACACCTCACTGGGCCTGAACAATGGCCCATCCAGCCCAACACTTCAACAACATCAGCAGCAGATGCTATTATGGAACACTCTCATGCTCCTTCAGCATCTGTTAGCCATCTGATCAGGGAAATTACAATCTACTCGAAGCAGGAAGGACAGCAATTTATATATTCCTTGCTAACTTTTTAGATGAGTACTTTAACTAACACTAGTTCTTTTAGTTACTGCTCTATACATGGCTAAAACCTAAAAATCTGCTTTTTCCTCATACCTCCAGACATGTATCCCACGCTGCCAGAACACAGCCATTAGGAGCCCACTCGATCCCAAACAGATCTTGTGTTTCAGTATCAAAATGCTGCCCCCAAAAGAGAAAAAACAAAACAATTTGAAATATACTAACAAAGAATGTTGCATCTGACCTAACACAGTCTTCAGTTTTATCTTTTCAAGTGCTACCACAAATGCAAGAGAGCATTTTGTATGCTAGTGTAGAAACAGAAGCATTTTCTTTCACAATAGTAGCTGCATTCACTGTTTCTTTCGTTTCCCTTTACAGAAAAGGCAAAAAGTTGCCCATGCCTTAAAATGAACAGCATTTCATAAGAAAATAAAAGTACTTACACTGAATCAGCCAAGAAATCTAGCTAGCCTAATTCCTTGCCTCAGAAAGACTGGTACAGGATCCTTAGGTAAGAGCTTCAGAACATGACAAGCATTTCATGGTATATCCCAAATTTTGCTGACAGCTTCTAATGAGACTCAGAATTCCTGAGCCAGAGATGACACTATGTATCGACTAGATCTTAATAGGTTTTAATTTCTCAGATCTACCTGGTCCTCTAAAACATGCTAGTGTGTATCTTCACAGACTATTCTCATTGTTAAACAGAAAATATTTCTATTATTCATTCCAAATGATCACTTTATCAAGCATTTGATACTTCATTATTAATGTAGCATAGTTTATTGTAAATAGGCTCATGCAAGAATTAAAAGGCAGAACTTTTGCATCCATCAGAAATTCTTTATGCACTTATAGTACATATTGGCCTCCTGAAGAACATACTGCCACAGAAGTATGTCTGCAGGCCAAGGAAGGAGCCAGGTGCCGGACAGAAAATGCACTGGCAAGTCTAAAACCCAAGTGACCGAGTCGAAAGCAGCGTGCAACACATCCTTGTAGTCTCTGCAGAAGCAGTGGAAGGCAAGGACACATCTTACCCTCAGCAGCTGCCAGTCACTGCATACAAAGATGCTAATGAAGTCCTTGCAGTCACGTCTTTCGGCTACTGCCATATAGCGGCCGTCCTTAGTGAAAGCTATCCCTGCCAATGAGACAAAGCTCATTAAAAAAAAAGAGAGAGAGAAAACAAGACAGAATGGCTGATGATTCTTCAATTAAAAGCAGTTGCTCTCAATTCAAAGGAGAAGTAAAAAGAGAAGGAAAAATATCTTCACAGAAGATCACATTAATCAAGGCAATGCACGCACAGTTTTACTGACTTGCCTGTGTTGGCAACTCAAACTCTAAATGTTCTATTTCACAGCTATCGCATGCTTCAAAAGAACACGTTTGATTACTGACAGGCAGTTGTTTTATAAACCCCACAGATTTCAAATAACTAGTTCATTTAGTCTAGCTAAACGGATTAGTTATGCAACCATTGGTACTCCACCCGCTTCCAGGCACTGGTCCCCATCCACTCTTCTTTTATATGTAAGACATAATTGTCTTTGTCATATATGGACTACTACTATATCCAAGCCTGAGGCAGGAAACTGCTAACCACAGCCATGTGGCCTGACAGCCCTGACATGAGCTTCCCTTTCAAATCTTTTCATGTATAAAAGATGACAAAAGCCACTTTGGATTAGTGTTTTTCATCACCAATGCATCCAGCTTAATTTAATGGCTTACAGGACCCTTCAGAGGCAAACACAACAGGAAGCTGCGTATCTGAACAGGCTCATAGATCAGATGGAATCCTTCCTTCACTGTGAGAACATCTTGGTGCATCACAGCAGGTGGCACACGGGCACCGATCTCAGAGTCCGGCATCCCTGAGATAACCCCGCAGCACAGAGGGTGCCAGAGCCTGCTCAGAAATACGTGTCTCATCATTACACACCAAATTCATTTTCCCCTTTCTGCCATATTAAAATATATATATATCATTCCTGTGTTAGATTTGTGACACTCACCCTGCTGACAAGCTTTGGGATATTTGATGTAAGACACAGATTTCGTGCACAAGGACCACACGGTTATCCGCAGCTGTCGCAAAGAGAAAGGGACAAGTATTTATTTCTGTAGATCACAAAAATTAAGTAAATAGAAACCCACAAACCTAATTCAAGTACACAACGCAGATCAATATTCCTTCTGTGGTTGATTAACTGTGCAGCTATTTTATACAGCTCAATCACAAAGCCCTTGGAAGTAACTGTGAGGAATTATCTCCTTCACTTAGCAAGGTTACTTATTCCAAATTAACATTGCAGGCACACTGAACACTCTAGAGGGGTCTGAGACATAGAATATCAACACAGAAAAGCTCTTCATTAACCTTAGTTACTGACATTAGTTACACATTGCCAGTGTGTTCCACATGGACACTTTTCAGTTGGAAAACCACAGTTTCATCACAGAATCTGGAAGCAAGAAGTTTCTTGTATTTATGGATGGATGAGAAGTTACAGCTGTTTAAGAACACGTTATCTCTTGTGAAAAGGCTACTAAGTATGAGAATTTAGCTGTATTTTTAAACTTTTAGACACACTCAGCCTTGACAGCTAATCTGCATTTGGCTCTTCCCTCCTCAGCCACCCACAAGAACACAACATTATGTAATTACTGAAAGAATTAGAAAAGAACCCAAATATGCTACACAAAGCAGGGCATTAAACATCTCGTTTGGGGTATTTCTGGAGGCTTGTGCATCCATAAAATACAAAAATTGCAGAGAAGGCAGTCAGCTGCAAAACAAGCTTCTCCACAGCTCCTCAAGGTCACAGCCTGCATTCTGAAAGCTCTGTGTTGCCATCTGCAGATTATTCAATTAAAAACAAATACTTACTCTCCCTTAGCAACGGCAGCCACACCAGACACATGTGCATTAATCAGTATGTCATGTGAACCTTTGCATTTATATCTGGAATCTTTCCAGTGGCATTTTTTGTGTGTGTTTTGCTACATTTTATTGCACCAAGGTAAGAGATTGTAGAAGAGATGCAGGTAAATATTTTTACAATAAAGCACCACACTCACTACCTTTCCCAGAACAACTGAACAACAAGATTAGTTCTGATTCATTATGTAATTAAAACTCCAGCACTGTCTACCATCTCCTCATCCTCCTCCATGAGGTGCAGACCATCAGCATCACCAGCAGTTTTGGGAAGAAGTTCATGCTACGCTTTTTTGCATATTTGCCCTCAACATACATTTCCCTTCTCTGAAGCAATTGGTACCATTTGATGGTGACAAAGGACTCCAAGGTAGCATCCTACTTATCTTTTCTACTTGGCAATGCTACAGACTGTGTAGCAGAACATTCTACAGACATTGCAGCAGAACTTGGAGGGGTTTTTCATTGCTGGCATTATCATTTTTGCTAGAAAGCACGATTCAAGTAATTGACATGGTGTTCAAAACAAGCTTCAGAATCCTAATAAATGTTGCCTCCCTCCAGAGATACGTGGAGTCCCAAAGCAAGACAGCAGCATTAGCTGTTCTCCCTACTGCTTCTAATGTACAAAAACTGGTGAGATCTGAAGAGACAACACAGAAATATCCTTTTAAATTTATTTATTACAGGAAAGAGCACTATCAGCTCGTATTTCAGACTGTTTCTATCCAAAATTTAAAAAGGAATTGGACACTAATGCAGTGTTTATTATTCTCTTCCTTTATTTTACAGATATGAAATTAGCACTAGACATCTATAGTACCATGGTTAAGTTTAGCAGGTCCCCTAGATGAACAACATTAATCAAGTTTTATCACAGCAACTGCTCACTTCCGGACATACCGGTTAAGTTTAGCAGGTCCCCTAGATGAACATTAATCAAGTTTTATCACAGCAACTGCTCACTTCCGGACATACAAAAATACAGCATTGTTAGTCTGCTCCTCATGCAAGATTTACTTTAAAAATACCAACACAATGCCTACTCACATTCTTCTACAGCAACTGCAACAGTGATACTCTGCTTGCTCCTGTTCCTTGCAGTGTTACAGGCACTTGCTGCTGCTCCTCCCTCGACCAAAACACGCAGCGTACACAACACACATTCTACAGCCACTTAATACAAGCTTAGCAGCTGCAAGCTTTGAATGTTGAGGTCTGGATCATAATTTTTCCTGACAAAGGCAGCCAAGTTTACATTTGTGCTACTGCTTGGCCTCGCAATCGACTCACCTGGCCTGCTGTGTGTCAAAGGCACTTCTGTCCTGGACCACATTGGTTGGCTCAGAGCCTCAGAACAAGGCAAAACCCTTCTGCTCACATCAAGCTCAAGTACCTCGGAACAGGAAAATCTCTGGAGGTGAGAAACAGCACATGGCATGCAGAGCTCTTACCGGCACCTCTGCCTTGCCTGAGACTCCAGCACAGAGGAGAAAAGGCCAGTACACCTGGGTTTTGAAACTCTTTCTGCATCCATCTCCACTTCCTCGGTGGGTGCAGAGCTCTGCTGTTCAGACAGAACTTCTCTAGAAGGGTCAAGTGCTGTAACCCCCCCAGAGATGACACTGATAAGTTTCCCTGTTCATTCTTGTCACATTGCGCTTCACTGCTGATCACTCACTTCACCAAAACCAAAAGTGTCAGTTACATCCACCACTGATGTTGTTGCAGTGGTGCTGTGTTGCCCCACACACCTCCCCAACGGTATAAATTGCAATAATGCCACTGCAGTACTGGGGAGAGAGAACAGAACCACCACCACACACCCACAGGCCATTTACACCCAGGCTACAGAGAGCCCCACTAAAATACACCCTCAAAACCAAAGACTTGTCATTATACCGGATGCCTGCAACACTTTGACAACCACAGCACTTCAGACTTGATCTAAATCAATCACAACTTGATCTAAATCAGTACTACATACAGGGCTACAGCTCGATATATCCCCACTAGATAAAGAGGAGGGGGGCAAGGAACTACTAGCTCCCCTCTCTATTCAGCTTCAGGATCTCTCTCCTGAAAAGGCTGCAGGCCAGTAAGGGCCACACTCAACTGGCAGTCGACGACCACGTATGTGCTCTGTTGTAACTTCATTGCAGCCCTTGCCCAAGTCACACAGCACGTAGCCTGAAGGTTTTGGACTAGTGCTGGAAACATGTAAAAGCAAAGCATTTTGATTCCTGAAATTAGGATCCTTCTCAGTTGCTCCATTTGTGCACACTTGAGCATTTTTATAAACAGAGAAAGTTACACTGTGTGCTTCACGTATGGACTTCACACTCACCTTATATGGATTAACAATATATTTACAATTAAATTTTGACAAAAAGGAATTATTCCACAATCTTGCCCGAGCTGACAACGTAAACTAGCCCGAGAAAGATTATTTCACAACTAGGAGAGATGATTACAAGAGACAAACAAAATTCAGAGGGTACAAAAAAAAAAAAACCCAAAAAACCAACCACTTCACAAATAGCAACAAATTGCATTGCTCTTATTTGCTTTTCCCAGACTTTGTGAGGAAGGGACAGTTGCTTTTACAGGAAGATAAAATTCACAGGGTACAAAAAAAACCCCAAAAAAACAAACACTTCAAAAATAGCAACAAATTGCATTGCTCTTTGCTTTTCTCAGACTTCGTGAGGAAGGGACAGTTGCTTTTACAGGAAGAGAATAGATCATGGTCAATTAAGCCTGCAGCAAGCACTTCACTGATCATTTTGGGGCTACTTTCTCTTTAGCATACAGGACTCGATTAAGAGGAGTTGTCAAACTCAAATCCTAATGATAATGGTGTCTGCAAAGTTTTCAGCTGTTGTTTTGCAGTGGAAAAACAAACCAAAAGCAGAAGCATTTTTAAAATAGCCCCAAAACAGCTGAGAAATAAAAGGTATTTAGATGGTAACGTGATAAACAGTCTCCAGTGCTGGGTTCAGGACTACGTCCTAACGTTGACAGCTATAGGCAGGTGGGAGACTGGTGATTTTCACTAGATAAAAACACACTTTTAAACAACCTTACATCTCAAATGACTGTCAACTTTTGTCCCAGACTTGACTGGGTCACAAGGCCCCCTTGCATAGCAGTGTCTGTCAGCACCGGATTTCAGAAGATTATTCAGAGCACATTCCTGGACAGAAAGCATTTTTCAACCAACGTGGCCGTTTACAGTTACCAAGGATTAGCTCCAATACACACAGAAACACAGACTTCCCTTCCCCTGCTGCTGCAATTGGAAAGATACTCACTCCTCAATGCTTCAGTAGCTAGTGGGGAACCAGAGAAAGTACAATGTATGTCGCTTATAAGTATGGCTCTTAAAAGAAACACTCAAAAACAACACGCTGATCTTCAAACTATCACAAAACATGAGAGTCGTGAGGAAGAGGAGGATTTGCTTTCTCTGTATCTTTTACCTGCAGCTCTTGTTTAAGCTCTACACGTGGCTATGAATTCAGGTGGAATGCCGGCACTGTAAGAGGACAGACACGACAAACTGATAATGTGGAATCTTCCAGCCATCAGCTTTCTGTGTCACACACCACAGCAGGCAGAGCTGCCTCACACTGGGGATTTCAGCACCCACACAAAATGAGTAACAAACCATAGCTATGGGACAACAAGCTGCTCTCCCATCCACTGCATGGATCAGTGTAACTAACATGGTGTTCCAGCTTCTTCAGATGTCAGACAGACTTTGCAAAGCAGGCTTCCAGAAGGTGTTTCCCCAAGTAATTTATATTTGCTCTTGATTAATCAAATGAGAAAGATGTACCTTCATTTTTTTCCCCCAAAACCCCCGTTTTTCCTAACAGAACTGTACTCTAGCTTGGTATAAACAACAAAGTGATGAAAGCTGCAACTATTCTGACCACTTCTCATGTGGAGCTGTAAGATATAAGTAGACAATAAAAAATAAAGAAATAAAAGCCTTCCAAGTTTGGAAGCACCTTTGAATACATCCAGCTGCCCAGTAAAAGTAATTTTTGCCTGGCAAAACCTAGCAAGTCTGTGTCACACCCTGCAGTTTGCCAGTCTGCACAGCAGTGCTGACAGTCCCCAGAAGAAGAAAATCCTCCAATCCAGCAAAGCAAGAGTGTAAGGAACAAGCCTACATCTTTTCTACATCTCAGCAGAATTTCCACCCTAGATGCTGACAGAATGACCCCTCCACACACAGCACTTTAGCTAACAAACAGCACAAAGTGTTGGGGCAAGTCACTAGGTATTGCACACACTTTGTAATTAAGCACAGTAAATTCCTCTGCCAGTAACAGATTGTGAATAACAACCCACTCTCAAGTGAAAGGCCAGAGTCTCTATACACTGCCTCCAGTAAGGCTGTACCCTTTTAGCTGTCTTGCACATCATGCTGGTTTTTACAGTAACTGTGTAAAGATTTAGACAGGTTCCCGTGCTATTCAATGTTATTTACATTGTGTAACAACTCTGGCACTCAAAAACCTGCCTATTGTTACAGACTCATCTCCAATAAAATGACTGCACTTGCAGAGTTATGTTAAGTGCACGTAGAGCATCACTGCCCACCTCAAAACACTGAGCAGAGTCAAAGTGGATTTTGGAAATGAGTGTCAGAACTCTGCTGCACTCATCCCGAGTTAGGAACTGCACACCAGTCACATCAAAAAAAAACCTACTACATTATTCACTATAACACTGACCACAAAAAGAACCTGACTGCAAGTTAGCTGATGAATAATTTTTCTGAGGCACTAATAAGTATGGCTTGATAGAAATAAATTGGTACAACCATATCCTTAAAATAAAAAGATCTAGGAATAAGAAAGTTATTTGTGAGCTTACAGTGGAGCTCACATGTTGACCTGAAGAATTACAAGCATGAGTAATTAGTTGGTGCTGTTTGAAAGTGTCAGGCTACCAAAGCCAAGCTGTGCCCATTGCCAGGGAGCCCCTAAGCCCTCCAAGCAATCGCTGAATTCGATAATGTACATAATATACCAATATTAAGTATCCTGACAGTTTCTGTCTTGAGCTCCACTCATGTCTGTCCCACCAGACTATGGATTTAGCAGAGAGAGAGTAAACACAACTCAGACACCGGCATAACCCAGGCAGCTGTCTGACAAAAGCTAATTTAGCAACCTGTTTACAGCTGGAAAGAAAACTTATCCCAACACAGATGCCAACTTGGCAAAGGCTTAATGAAATCCTCTAAGGTCAAACCAAGTTCTGTTGGGAGGTAATAAATACTTGCTAGTCCACCCCCACAAGCACGTGCCATGAGATACTCACTTGTAGCACACAGCACCAGCCTTCAGTTTGAGTCCCTGACTACACCACTTCTGCCTGACACGCAGCCACGTCTCTTCCGACTTCAGATTGATACTCTGGACTCATCTTTTAAATTTTAATCGCCATAAGGGTGATTAATTCCTGGGAAAACTAAGACCCAAATTCATCCTTCCTTGTAACCCACTATCTAAAGGGGTAGAGGAATGGAAAGAAACTGCTTTATAACCACTCTGCCCCAATCAGCACTAAAAATCCTTGCCAGAGGATTCCACCATGTGTGCATCAAGAACTGCTCAAGAGCTGTATGTAAGTTTCTCCACAGGTTCCCTCGGGAGCATCAGCATTTGCACTAGCTCCAGGCCACACAGACAGGTGACAAAGCCCCCATCTATATTTCACTGATATTGGGATTTGCATGAAAAAAGGAAAAATCTTACAGTGCAACATTTGAATTGAGTGCCAGTGAGGGTTGTGACACAATAATAACCCACCATATAAAATCCATCTACAGTTTGGAAAAGAGGAAGTACAGCAAAGAGAAAACACAGCTTGTGTGTAGTTCTTGGTTATTTTCTGGCCATTCATCATTGTACTGAATAACATGAATCATCTGCTCCAATCCAAAGACTATAAAGGTGTGAGTCAGTTCCACATGCCTTCAACAAGCCCAGTGTCCAGCATCCACAAACTGATTTGGATTCTACCTTAGCATGGATTCCAGAATATGGCTCTTAATCAATAGGCACTTACAGGTGTTTTAATTTTGCAAGTGGTTCTACCAACAGCAGTTTGGTTCCTACATATAAAACCAAACAATTACAAAAGTATTTCCAGGATCTGGATCTAAATCTCATCTTATGGGTCAATAAGCCAAAGATGTTATTTTTTAATTCCATAGCCACTCCTAAATGTTTATGGTTTGGCAGGTTTTTTGCTAGAAACCCTGAGCTACAAACGACACATTTGATTTCTAAACTTGCTTCAATAAATGGCAGTTATCCCTACACTTTTCTCAAACACATAATTCTACTTCAAAAGCCAAGTGTCCATTTTCTATCTTATGATTCTATGATTCTATCTTTATGATTTTCTATCTATGATTCTGTGATCTTACCATAAGAAAGAGGATAAAACGTTAACAAAATAACTAACACCTAAACTGGAGTTAACCCAGATTACATATATGAATACAGGAGAGCTATATCCACGTTCTTTACCACCCCCACCACCCCTTTAAAAGCTTTAGGTTATTTTAGGAGGCAAAGGGCAGACAGTAACATCTGATACCGTCGAGAGTCATCGTGACTTCACACTTACATGGAACTCGGTTGTATTGAGGATGTGACGACCATCCGGACTCCAGCATGAAGCCACCAACCCTGCCGACCCCTCGTCTATCTTACAGTGCCAGTCTGGCTGCTCCAGGGACCAGACCTGGGGCAGAGAGGAAACCAAACAGACAGCACATCAGACCAACAGCTTGTCAAACAGCTGAGAAAAGGCTCCTGCATCGCACACCAGAGAGGTCAGGGAACCTCTGAGAGCCCATGGCCATGAAGGACTGGCGCTGGATCCCACTACCCAGGTAAGCCCCACGCTTCTGTGTGTCAATAGAAACTGTAAAATAAGGTGTTTCCTTTTTTTATTTTCTGTGACAAATATTCTGAACATCCAACACTTTTAAAAAACATGTTTAGCCCATTTAACAAGTTTGCATGTATTTATTTTAAGATAATCTCCAGCTTTGATTTGTTTTGACAAATATTTTTATTCTAAATTTGCTTTTTTTTTCGAACTAAGATGTTTGTTTTAAAAATACCAGCATGCTGGGTTATCCTCACACCATGTGCTATCAACAACAGTATCAGTTACTCTGGTAAAAGCACTGAAGTAGGGCTTGCTGTTGTGAAGCTCTCTCTCATACCACACATGAATCCCCAGCAGGAAACATATCCCAGCCTGCAGGAAACATATCCCAGCCTGCAGGAAACACATCCCAGCCTGCTCTGTCCTTACCTGAACAACCCCACGCTTGTACATGGCGCATAAAACAAACAGGGAGTCAGACGACCACTCTATGTACTGGATCTGATCCAGGCAAGTGTACAGCTGGCGAATCTGGAGGGTGTTCACGTCCCGAACCACCAAACGGTACTGCACACACGAAGCCTGAACGAGAACAAAGCCAGAGCTGAGCTGGAGCACAGACCTCGGGCTGGGAAACCGCGATTTTTCACTGCGCCGTGAGGAAACTCTGCGCTGCTGCTGCCGCCGTCCCCGCGCGCTGCGGGCACAGCGAGGAGCTGCAGTGGCAGAAGGGCTCGAGGTGCGCTGGGCTCCACTGCAGACTGCCGCCAAAACAGTTAAACCGGGGAGGAAATGGGGTTAAAAGAGATAAAAGGAGCGTTGTTCGTCCTGGCGCTGCTGGTCAATCCCACTCGAAACAAAATTACTCTTTCTCTCATGACTATTATTTTTTTTAATTAACCTTAAGCAGGTCTCCTGATAATTGTTGTAATTATAGAGAACCTTGTT